TTATAAGAAAGGACAAAAGTCCTCTTGTGACAATCACAGAGGAATCAGTTTGACTAATATAGTGTCTAAAATATTAGCCTCAATAATACTTCGACGCCTAATCAAAGCTCGTGAAGAGCAGACTCGAGAAAATCAGGCTGGTTTTCGACCTGGACGTGGTTGTATAGATCAGATATTCACACTACGTCAGGTTCTAGAACACAGACACACGTTTAGACGCCCCACAATGGTAGTATTTCTCGACCTTAAGGCGGCATTCGACTCTGTTGATCGTAAGGTTCTATGGCAGTGTTTGTCACTGAAAGGAGTACCAAAGAAGTACATTAACCTTATAAAGGCTCTCTACTCGAACACAACTGGTAGAGTGAGAGCTTATGGCGAACTGTCATCAGAATTGATTACCTCAAGTGGTGTTCGTCAGGGCTGTCCACTCTCCCCATTCTTGTTCAACTTTGTGGTCGACGTACTTTTAGAGATAACACTCTCCTCATCTAAATTTCCGGGGGTTGAACTTCTACCGGGAGGTTCACTTGTTGACTTAGAATATGCAGATGACATAGTTTTATTTGGTGAAGACGCTGACAAAATGCAGAGTCTTCTGACCACTCTAAGCAACAATGCAAGCATGTTCGGGATGCGATTCTCTCCCTCGAAATGCAAAATGTTGCTTCAGGATTGGGTTACATCGACACCCGAACTAGTGATAGGGAGTGAAGTAGTTGAGTGTGTCGATCGCTTCACTTATCTTGGAAGTCTCATCAGCCCTTGTGGTCTGGTGTGTGACGAAATCTCAGCACGGATACAGAAGGCTCGACTAGCTTTTGCCAACTTGCGTCATTTATGGCGTAGACGAGATATCCGTCTACCAACCAAAGGACGTGTTTACTGCGCAGCAGTTCGTTCCGTCCTACTTTATGGCTGTGAAACATGGCCGGTAAGAGTAGAGGATATTCGTAGGTTACTAGTATTTGATCATAGGTGTCTTCGAAGTATTGCTCGTATATCCTGGGACCACCGAGTAAGTAACGCAACTGTTAGGAAACGGGTACTAAGTAAGGATGGCAAATCAATTGATGAAGTAGTGAAACTTCATCAGTTGAGATGGCTGGGACACGTGTTACGTATGCCCAACCACCGACTACCTCGACGTGCTATATTCAGTGGTATAGGAGTAGGTTGGAAGAAAGCTAGGGGCGGCCAGACCAAAACATGGCACAAATCCATGAAGTCACTGACAAGTGGACTGAGTCATGTTGGTAGGTGTAGACTACCTGGTTGGGGACCGCGAGATGATAGCAACCGATGGTTAGAGACCCTGAATGACATGGCTCAAAATCGTTTGCAATGGCGCAGGTGCATCCACTCTTTGTGTTCTCCCAAATTCTAATCTTCTGAATTCTTCATGCCCCTTTTTTTCCTCTTTCCAAATTTATTTCACTGGATTATACTCGTTAAATAACATCTCCAAACCCTAATCTTCCCGATTACTGCTTATACTCTTGCTACCTCTACGACTGCGGGATTTGAATCGACCACTGCATCTCTGTGCTAATGTGGTATGGCAACTCGAACTGATGTACGTACGTACTAAGTTCTACGTGTTACTGACTGACTACCATCATAAATTATAGTTAATCTACTAAGGATTAAAAAAAAGAATATTCGAATATCAGTATAGAGTCATGGAGATTGTTGAGTTCTCACTGAGATCATGAACCAATCGTAAACTGGTTTAAGTTAGACGTTAATACAGTTAAATCCCGGATCAGTGATCTAGAGGTTAGGCGTTCGTATGAGACCAAAGGTTTTGGGCTGAATTCCCTTTTGTGGGTAATCGTGGATGAGCACTGTTGCAAAGTCTTATACTAAAACGAAACGGTTGTCCAGTACTTCTAGGTTTTCAAACGTGGTCTGACATTGATCGGTTCATGATCTTAGTAAAATAATCTACAATTCACAGATTAGATGCAATTACATATTATTGAGTTTTCAACTGATTCTATTCTTGTTGCTTTAATAAGATTGATTGAAAGATATTCTTTACAAATTAATAATTCATCTGAAGAAAATAATACGGATAAGCATCACTAGCTGGATGGTAAACTATAATAAGGGCGAGAACAAAAGGGAGAGAGAGAAAAAAGGGCGTGATGAGATGTGAAGCTTATCAATAAGGGCGAGGATTGATATAGACGATCATCGAAAAGGTAAGCATCAAAACGAATAAAACTTCTTAATATGTGATTTAACATTTGTCCTTTCATCTCAACGATTAATTAAAGTTTTCTTACTTTCAATGAACAGTTTACTCTCAATTAATACGATGAATTTTAGAATTTAGTAACAATGATCTATTCTTATTAATATCAGAAGGGATTTTTGTGGATATTATAGCAATTTTAATAGTTGAATTAATGGGTTAATTGAAGCTAGACCACCATTAAAAACCTGGAATCCTCGGATAGTTGTCTTATCTTAGTATGAGACTCCTCAGCAGTGCGCATCTACAATCCTGCCTCGCGAGATTCAACCCCAGGACCGATAGATCCTGGAATGTACAAAAATATCGTATGACAAAATGAAGATCACTCTGTCTGTCATGCGATGTCTGAAGTTATTGCAAGACAGTTAACAGAATATAACCATGCATCAGATAAATGAGTATAAAAATCGAGCAGAATAATCAACAAAAGCATCACATGAATTATTTGCTACGGTATATGTTAGCTTGTTATTTACAGTATCAGCTCAACTTCTAGATGTAACTCTAATGAAACAAATTATTCGGTGCATATGACTTGATCATCAAGTGTCCTTACTGAAGCCGAAGTTTATTGGATACAATAAACCTGAAATCTGAATTATAAGACTTTAAACCTATAGCAAACTAAATGAAGTGAACCTGACTTTAAATCTATCAACTTTTATGGCTGACTAAGAACATTCAGTTTTATCAGCATTCCAACACTTATTTTTAAATACTCAAAGAACAAACGAATATAAATTGTGTAACCCGATAAATTAATCATCTACAAATTCACGTGCTGAGTATATTGTAAGATAGAAATACTCCCTGGTTCAGCAAAATTAAATGGATAATTCTGTTAGAAGTGTAACGATGATGTCCACTTTTTGTTTACTTACACCATGAAAGAAACACACTTTATACTGATGGATTTGAAAACTAAATTAAGTTAATAGTAAACCTGTTTAACCTAGAAGTGTCATCATTGAAAGGATAGCTGCTTGAGGTCAGTTACGTATAACCATCTGATGAGTAGTTTTAAGACATTACCGTAGTCATAGTAAAATTTATACCATCAGTTTATCACCTAAATGACATAACAATCGTGGTAAGATATAGAAAGAATAAATATTAAAACTAATATGGATCGATAACATCATTGTGATCGGCAACCCCAACCACTGTATCAAGGTAACAGCTACGATCAATGAATAATGGTCTCGAATTTCTAATTGCATCTATTAAGAATACAAAGTAGCAATAATTTTTTTGTAACAAATAAGTGTCATTATTTTAAATGAAATAAATAAATTCAAATCAATCTAGGTTGATAAATTGTTCGCTACCGAGTAACTAAATGAATGACGAGATGGCGTCTGAAGCGAGCAATACCAAGTTCGAGTCCCGAAGTGGACATCCAAATGACGAGTCACAAATAAGATAAAACGCACATTCTGAATTCCACATTCAGCTACCATTCATGTTTGCTTATAACGCTTGTAATTTAGTGGTAATATCGAGTCAATACGCATAGGACGCACATACATAATATGAGACTGATCAAGTGAAGTCCTAAACATCAATGAGAAGATTCAAACAAACAATACAAAAAATAAAGTACATTAGTTTAAATACATCAGTAGGCCTCGACATACACAAAGGAAAAAGTAAGCTGCACAAATACAACACGGAGAACACTAACACAATTACGCCTGATGGTGCAAGTCTGCTAGAAGTGGAATCCTTCACGTACCTGGGAAGCATCATCTATGAACAAGGAATATCGGATGCAGGCGTAAACGCGATGAGTGACAAAGCAATGGCTGCATTCCTACAATTGAAGAACATATGGAACTACAAACAACTGTCTGTCAACCAATATCAAAGTGATAATCTTCAATACCAACGTCAAGACAGTTTTACTGTACGAGCTGAAACTTGGAGAACTACTACAACCATCATCAAGAAGGTACAAGTATTTATAAATAGTTGTCTATGCAAAATACTCAATATCTATTGACCGGATACCAATACTATCAGTAATAGCCTTCTATGGGAGAGAACAAACCAGTTTCCAACTGAACAGGAAATTAAGAAAAGACGATAGAAATAGATAGAACATACATTATGAAAATCATCAAACTGCATCACGAGGCAAGTCCTAACTTTGAACCCTGAAGGGAAGTGGAAAAGAGGAAGGCCAAAGAATACATTACGTTGAGAATTGTAAGCAGATATGGAAAGGATGAATAACTGTTGAGTCGGTTTTCCGAGAACTGCAACAGAACCTCCAGAGGCCCTAAGGGAGCTGAAGAGTCCTAGCCAATCAGAGCATGATAGAGCCTTCTAGAATGTCAACGTGGCGTGCCACTATTGGTCAGTAGCATAATATTGTCTTTTAGCGGATTGACCAAAATACGATATTGATTTAACAAATGTTAACATCTATAAATACCCGTGTTTTCCTGTACAAAAATGAACCTTTGGAGTAAAGTATTTCTCGCATATTTTGCGTCTTCTCTCTTGTGTTCAGGTTGCTGCGTAGTTCTAGCTTGCAGGTTACCAGAATAGCTTAGGAAGCGAATAAAGCGTTTGAATTAACAAGACTTATCAATAACAACTGGAAAGAATTGCTCAGTACAAGGTTGGATAGAGAGAATGTTGGTAGGTGACTTACGCTCTTTCATGAGGAGTAAAAGGCGTAAGTAAGTAAGTAAGTTGAAATACATAGAAAATTAATAAATAAAAACTCAATTGATATATATATTACTTTTATTTATTAAAAGAATATAAATTAATTCATTTACTATACAAGAGAGAATGAGATGTTGTGTTTGTTTCTCTTTTTTTTTTGATTATCGTGAACGTTTCATTAACTTCTTTAAATGATCTCTTAATGCAATTTGTTTTTGTTGAAAACTACGTTTTGCTTTACGTCGAATTTTATGTTTAATCATTTGAAATGTTTTATTTTTTAATTTTTCACGATTTGTTGTACTGGCATGTGCGTTTAATCGATTCACCTAAATAAAAGAAGAAAAAAAGCTAATGAAAGTATTGGACGAGTGTTTCATTCCAGTATAGGACTCTTCAGCAGTTCGTATTCATGATCCAACATGCTGGACATGAATCCAAGACCTTTGGTCTCGCACATGACTCGGCAACGGATGCAACACGTGAACATGTCATTCAACTCATAAAATAAGTTCTTTGCATTTCTTGATTGAGATCATGAACCGATTGATGTGGACTCTCCATGTCCATTAACTCTGTTAAAGCGCCGGACATTCGCTTTTCGTCCTCTCAATTTCGTAATCAAAACACCCCCACCACGAGAAGGCAGTGAGTAGGACTTCCCTGGCAGAGGCTATATACACGTGGCCATGTGAAAGCATTTCGACACAGAGAGAGGACTCTCCCCACTCTCAGCCGTACAAGAGCATTTGGGGGCGAAAAGATAATAAAGTTATTGAATATTCGATGAGTATCTTTAAACAATGAAATAAACACACGCAAAATAATTGTTACTGTAAAACAATTTAAAATAAAGTATTTATTACCTTAAAACCATATTTTTCTCGTCCAATACGACCTTCTTCAATAGATTCCATTCGATCAGCTTTTGTTTGATGTGGACGTTTTACTAGACGTGTAATTGCACTCATACTAACAAGATTTCCTAAACTACCATCTTTATTTTGAATACCAACACCAGTGTTTTCACCATCTTCATCATCAGTATCCACAATAAAATATGAATCAGAATTATCGATTTTATCTTTATTTCGTAAAGAACTGTAGGATGCAAAACGTTTCTAAATGAGGATTTGAAATAATAATAATAATAATAGTCGAAGTTATGTCAATAATGAAATGAATTCTATACAAAGGAAGAAAGAAAGACTTTCCATAAAACAACTTTAGGTGAGACTATAATTTATGAACGAACCAATCACGTATAAGATAACAGGTCTCTGATTAAGGCGCGAAATTCATTCATCCATTTTGAATAAATAGAATCTTACCATTATAGCTAATATATCAGTTCGTGATAAAAACCTGAAATCTGATTTTTAAGCTTAATCATCAATTGTAAATCATGATTTGAATTCCACACATTAGTTTATAATCCTCATTTGGTTCTAGTTATTAGTAGGTGGACACTTTCAAAGTCATTTTAGCGTCTCTCATAGGTCGTCCATACATTATACTCTCACCCAACTCTGTAATATGACTGAATATTATACTAATGTTTTAACGTAAAATCGATTTTTTTTTACGTTTACCCAAATTGCTATGTTTGAAGAGACTATGAGTTCATTTAAATCTGAGAATGAAACAAAGACTCAGCGACATAATAACCAAATAAGCTAACTATTCTGATGCGTCCTAATCCTGCTAACTAAAGAGAGAAGTTCAAGTTCAGAAGAGGCAAAACGTATTCCATAAGCATTCAGAATCACTAGTGACAACAAGCACAACTCAGTTAAACACATACAGCATAAAAATGTCCTTAGGAAACGTTATAAAATAGCATATTAAAAGAGACAACAAATCAATGATATTTAAGTTCTTCCCAAGTGAGAAATACGATATGAAAGTGAAATGATGAGCACTTTTAGCATGAAAAGAAAAGAATTTCAAATTTCCAAAATAACATTGCAAAAATAAGATATTTACCAAGTGAGTTCTGGGGATCTAGTGTCCCTAACACAAATGTCATGTCTTACATGTGTTGATATGCATAAAAACTCTTTGCCTTACTGATTTATCAATTTTCTTAATATATATTACACTTTTTGCATTAAGACATATTTATATGAGATTATAATTGCTCATTAAACACAACATCATTATTGAAGCGTTCCAATACGCGATTTTAACCTCTTAGTTTAAGAAAAGACAGAGAGTGTATACACCGACGCCATTGTGATTGATTCTCAGCTATGTCACCAAGAGTCTCCAACCATTGGTTACGAAAGTCATGCGGACCCCAACCAAGTAGTCTGCATCTACCAACATGGCTCAGACTAGAAGTTAGTGACTTTCTGGATTGACGACACGTTTTGGTTTGCCGCCCCTAACTTTATTCCAACCATTTCCAACACTAGTCAGCATTGTGCGTTGTAGTAATCGGTGTTCAGGCATACGTAACACGTGGCCCAACCATCTCAGTCGATGAAGATTTACAACCTCATCAGCTGATTTACCATCATTACCTAATACCCTGAGTCTAACCTCACTATGACTTACCCGGTGATCCTAGCTGATGCGAGCAATATTTCTAAGACATCTGTCATCAAGTACTAGTAACCTACGAGTATCTACAACCATTCATGGTCACGTTTCGCTGCCAAAAGACTTTGCATTTTATCAGCATCTTCACCAAACAGGACTATGTCATCTGAATAAAGAAGAATAGATCTGAAGTGTCTACAGATTCAGCGTTGGTGTTTGTCAAATGTTTGAAATCAATATGAGAAATATTCACACACAAAAAGTGCTATTTATTATAACCAGTGTATTAAGAAAAATCAGATTATAAATCTGAAGACCTGTGAATATGAATATAATGGCAAATGAACTTTTAACCAAAAATACCTGTTTTGTTTGTTGATATTTACGCATTGCTTCAAATTCCTCTTGAGTAAATATACGTGATGATGCTATCTCTAAAGCTTTTTCTTTCAAAACACTTGGATCTATTTTAGTTTTCTTTGAAGGGACATTCATATTAGATTCATCTATTTCCATATCAACATTATCTTGTTCATCATCTTCTTCTGAAGAATTGGGTAAATTTACCCATTCGTCATCTGATTCATCTGTTTGACTGTCATGACATGTTTTATCCTCGGACTCTTGAACCTCAGAACACGATTCCCATGAATCATTTTCTTTGTCATTGATAAAACATGAAAAAGTAAAATTAAACACCAAATTTATTTCAACCATTCATTGTAATAATTTCACATTACTTATAAGTAGCTTAAAATTATATTACAAAATACTTATCACAAGGGTTTACACAACGATCTTGCACGTATTAAGTGAACTAAGACTAATATATAATAATAGATCACGATCTTATATAAGGAGTGAACGATAGTCTCGTGTATCATAAACAACGATGCATTGTTTATTACTAGAGCTACTCGGAATATCAGGGAATAATTGGCGATTTTTCAATACTAAGTTACCGAAACATCCAAGGGCCGCATTCTTAGGAGTGAAGAACATATGGAGCTCAAAACAGCTGTCAACCAATATCAAAGTCACAATATTCAATACCAACGTCAAGACAGTTCCACTGTACTCAGCTGAAACTTCAACAACTACCACAATCATCATAAAAAACTACAAGTATTTGTAAACAATTGTCTACACAGAATACTCAATGTTCGTTGACTGGATACCATCAGTAACAACAGCCTACTGTGGGAGAGAACGAACCAGATTCCAACTAAAGAGCAGAATAGGGAAAAATGTTGCAGGTGGATAGGACGTACATTTCTAAAATAATCAAACTGCATCACGAGACAAGCACTCACTTTGAATTCTGAAGGGAAAAGGAAATGAGGAAGTCGAAGGAACACATTGGATTAGGAATTGGAAGCAGATATCAAAGGAATGAATAACAACTGGGAACAAGTAGAAAGGACTGTTCAGGATAGAGTTAGATGGGGAATGCTGGTGGACGGCCTACGCTCCTCGATGAGGGGTAACAGGAGTAAGTATGTATGTATTTATGTATCATATATATATATATTTTTTAAATCAAGTTAAACATTTATTTGTTCAACATTCTTACCTTCATTATTTAAGCATTTCTCTGAATCATCTAAACTTTTATTAGATTTTTCAGAGGATTCTTTCTTTTTAACATTCAATTTCTCTGAAGCCAAAACAACTATTTCAGCTCCAGGAATAGTTGAAGATGTAGTACATTGACCATAATTAATTGCAACATTTTGAGGTATATCATATTTTAATACGTCTAATTGTGATTCTGTTAGACGTCCGCATTCTTTACGTGGTAATAATTCAGGATTTATCTAATGTAAACAATGAAATATAAAACCACAAAAATAAGTCACTTGATATAAGACATGATGAATGCAACAAAAATAGTTATAAAAAGAAAATTTATTCCAAGAATTTATTTATTCATTATTTACTTGAACACATAAATATTGGTACAAAGGGGCATTGAATACATATGCTCCACACAAGTCACTTGATTTGTGTGTGTGGGGGGGGCTATGATACAGACCGAGTGGCCAAACCAAAGAAGGTTTTCTTAGGCGGTCACATCCCGCACCTTCGACCTAAAGGTCTGATCCACAAGGCAATGGAGCAACGTCAGGAGATGCAGTTCCAATGTGACCGGTGACCAGTGATTGGTTCATACGCCATTTGTTCCCTTCAGGATCCTGGAGCCCATGTGTACCATTGGTTTGAAATCAAAATTTTCCAACTCCCCTAGGTGAACCCTTTGTATCCACCAACCCGGTTAAAGCGTCAGACACTCGCTTTTCGTCCTCTCGATTTCGTAAACAACAACTGTGCCACGAAAAGGCAGTGAGTAGGACTTCCCTGGCAGTGGTTGTATATGTGTGGCCATATGAGATCATTTCGAGAGGGATGGTGTCATATATAAACAAAAACTATCGTCCTGTCATAAATCTGCATTAGATGAAACATTTTTTTATACTAATAAATTTTGTTACTTCATCGACTTGATACATTTGAACTTCAATTAATGACTGTTGATAACCTTACCGTTGAACTCGAATCTATCCGCTAAAAACGACCAATCATCATCATCACCAGAAGAGCTACTGATGATTTTTGTAATTAATAAGAAACTAAGCATCTACACTAAGATAGGTACATGACTAAAACTATTATTACTAATTTAATGGAGTGCAAGGAGACAAAAATCCCGATTTCTAATGATACATTGCATGCCACAAATAAGGATGGTTAGTTTTATTCAAGACATCTCATTAGTGGCTTAAGAAAAAAGCACAATACATATGCATGAATAGTTGGTAGTTGACTTAGAACCATAAAAAAAAAAGAAAAACCGCTAGAAACACCAAACAACTGATATAAGAGAGAGGGAAAAAGGTGAATGTAGTTTCAGAAATTATAAAGAAAATTTTAGCTGAAAGTAGAAATAATTTGAGTTGTGAAATAAAAAGCCGACTGGAAATAGTTACCAAGTTATACAACAGTCAATCACCAATGATGTAATCAGTATATTGTAGTGAAGTGGTGGTATATTAGTGGTTTTAGAGCCCTATGCTTTTAACCAATATGTGAGATGTTCAAGCCCAGTTTCATACATTTTGGGTTTGACTATCCGGGTAACATATATCTGCACTTCGTGAGTTACATTACTTTTTACAATGTTTCGAACTTCCCTCTTGTAGACGATCAATACATTAATGCAGCCATAAGTTTATGAAACCATTATACCCCATTAAACTTATTTCCAGGAACATATTGGTGCACTTAGCTTTCAGCCACGCTCTAAGTGCGAAGAGCAGCGATGATAATCCTTCGCCCGAACTGAAGTAAGTGAACCGGAATTGGAACTTATGACGTGATGATCGTAATTCAAAGGCCTTATTTATCGAGCCACCGCTAGGACTAAAACGCCAGCAAGGACTGATCAATTTAATACTTATTATTAAAAACAAAGAACTTAGAACTATAACAACAAAACAACAGCGGTAACATAGTGACTAGAGCACTCAACTTTCATCCACCAAGTAACAGTTTAGGATGTTGCTCCATGTTTACGGGTTTGAACAACTATGTAGCTTTACTAGCCCTCAAATACAGAAAAGTAGGACTTAAAGCCGAATATACATGTTTGTACTCCGTTATCAAGCCTCCAATTCTTTTTCCATCTACCATATAAATAAACTACTAATTCACAATTTCATACAAACTCACTTGTCGATAAAGGCGTATAATTGATCGTGCTGCAGCGACCACATTTTTATTTCGATATGATCGATACTGAATTAAATCAGATAATAAATCTTTCGTGACTGCATAAGGACAACGTAAACATATCTCACGTACTGAGTTTAATCCAATCGCTATTGCTTCAGATGACGCACGTTCTGTAATAAAATTATCAGCGATTACTCGTACTAAGGGTTCCATTACCTAAAGCAGAAAATATATTTATTGTTAGGAAGAGATAAAGAAAAAATACGAAACTTGAGTAATCATTCCTTAATAAAATAGCTTATATATCTATCACATACTATACATCATATTCTACTCGTTAAGATTTGCGTTTGCTTAACCCGCTGAAGGCCCCGAAACAATGCATTTTCCCGTGTTCAATAATACTTCCTACCCATCGTTTCATAGTCCTTTTTAATATGCTGATTTCTAGACCACCACAGTCTGTCTTGATGAGCAATCTAGACGGGTGTATGAGTAAGATGAAAAAAAGCTAAGGATGGTCAGAGCAAGACTTAACAGCAACTAGTGAAAACACAGATCGATGGTGTGAGCCATGTTAGTAAATAGATTCTACTTGGTTGAGATCTGCCCAATAATCGTCATCAGTGTTGGTAGACCTAAGATGAAAAAGTCCAAAATCGGACTCAGTAGCATGCACGTACTCACTTTCTGTATTCTCCACCGAATTGTGGGTTTTGAAATGATGCTACAATTTATATTCCATAAATCCATTCCTCCGATTGCAGATTAATAAATTCTAGTGTTTTCTACTACCAGTGATATTGAGGCTACTACCCTGATGTTTGTCTTGAACATTCTATTTGATTGTGATGATAAAGAGTGGTATTATTTTTATTTTAATTTATTTTATTTGAACACATATATATTGGTACAGGAGTGCGCTGAATATATATAAAGAGTGGTAACGTGAATGGACGCCGTATCATGCACTGCATATGACTGACCGAAAATATTATTAAGAATAGGATAGATGGATCAAACTAGACAATAAACAACACAGAAATTGTCAGAGTTTATCAATATAATATCGGTCCAAAAATGGCGGATAGTGATCGGAAGTGGTTACCTCAAGTGGTCTTCGTCAAGATTATCCACTTTCCCAACGTTACATAACTTTGTCATACACATAATTTTACTTACGCTTGTTACCCCTTATGAAGGAGCATAGGCCATTCACTAGCATTCTCCATCTAACTCTATCTTGAACAATCTTTTCCACTTGTTTCCAGTTGATGTTCATTCCTTTGATACCTGCTTCCGATTCCTAATCCAATGTGTTCCTTCGTCTTCCTCATTTCCTTTTCCCTTCAGAATTCAAAGTGAGTGCTTGTCTCGTGATGCAGTTTGATTATTTTAGAAATGTACGTCCTATCCACCTGCAGCATCTTTCCCTATTCTGCTCTTCAGTTGGAATCTGGTTTGTTCTCTCCCACAGTAGGCTGTTGTTACTGATGGTATCCAGTCAACGAACATTGAGCATTTTGAGTAAACAATTGTTTACAAATACTTGTAGTTTTTTATGATGATTGTGGTAGTTGTTGAAGTTTCAGCTGAGTACAGTGGAACTGTCTTGACGTTGGTATTGAATATTGTGACTTTGATATTGGTTGACAGCTTTTTTGAGTTCCATATGTTTTTCAACTGTACGAATGCTGCCATTACTTTGCCAATCCTTATCTTTACGTCAGGTGGTTATGACGTACATTTCTAAAATAATCAAACTGCATCACGAGACAAGCACTCACTTTGAATTCTGAAGGGAAAAGGAAATGAGAGAGACGAAGGCACACATTGGATTAGGAATTGGAAGCAGATATCAAAGGAATGAACATCAACTGGAAACAAGTGGAAGAGATTGTTCAAGATAGTTAGATGGAGAATGCTAGTGAAGAGCCTATGCTCCTCAACGAGGGGTAACAGAAGTATATATACATATACAGATACTGACAAGATATTGCTCTTCTAAACGTGGTGATTTTATTTTATTATTTATTTGAACACATAAATAGTAGTATAAATTTTATGGAGTTACCACAGCTAACAACTAAGATAGTAGCTATATTTTCAAAATACAATTGGTTTTTAGTGAATGAAAAAGATTATTCGAATATTTAATCTGGAAATTTATACCTGATGCTTACATTGACCCTATACATACACCAGATCAAGCCCGACATTTTTAGGTTTCACAAAGATGATCAATACTTATTACACCAACCAATTTTCTAACTTCAGTCAACTAATAATAAGCTCTGAAACTGTTATTATTCAATGCAATTAGTGAGAATTGTATCACTTCTAAGATAGTTGAACACAATCATCATTCACGACTTTTTACTTCTAACAACTTTAAAGACGTTCCGCTAACAACACGATCATAATACCAATAAACGAAATTAATGGTTTGTACAGTAAGTTAATCATTTAAAAAGCCATGTCATATTTAAATAAAGGTGTATGTATATCTCAGATTCTATTTTACTGATAACTGACTGATTGACATATTATAGATAATAAAACTCAATCAAGAACTTACATCAGGTGGAACTTGATCATGGCTAGCCTGTGCTGAGAACAGTAATAAATGAGTCACGTCTAAACAAACGAAAGAAGAAATAGGTGAAAAATCAATTGACAGTACTGACAATAAATTTTACCAAATATTAATAAGGAATTTAGCTGGAAATATATGGATCTAACTAGTATAAATCAAACAGATTCTTAGCAGGGAACTAATTTTTCACAAATCATAATTACTGCAAATTTAATAACCAAGTAGACGTTTATAAATGTATCAATAATACAACTAGGCAGTTGTAATGAGATTCAAACCTGAATTCCGATGAATAAGTCTAAATTCTAACACAGAAAATGGAGAGAAAAAACAAAAGTTAAATCTAATCCAACAAATCTGTACGTCGTTTTTTATGCAAATATACCAGATAATTGTTCTACTCTAACAGCAAAGGTTTAAATAATAAGCATTCTTGTCATATTAGATTGATGCGCAAAATACCTTTTAAACAATATGAACACTAAACCTATAGAATGAATCAAAAATGAGTGTCTGGATCTTAAAGCTACGTTTGTTACTATTTACTAGCTAATGATACTATTCAGCTCCTCATATCAAAATAGGGTCAGATTCGTACCCACGGATTTCCACAAGTACGAAAGTCTGATATAACCATTAAACAAGTGAAAAGGAATACATATTTAACATAATTTTACATGTCCCAGATATATTGGAAATAATTTAAAAACGTAAATTAATCACTATTTAATCATATGTGTCTTCTTGTGGTGGCTAACCTTGATGAAACTCAGTAAATAAGTATAGGTTACTCTACTTAACTTTGAAGCCAAAAGTTTTGTATGTGAAATCTGAGAATGCTACATGACTACTCTAAAACAAATAGCTACAGTTGGATTTGAACTAGCTTCTCATTATTTATTTATTTATTTCAACACATAGATATTGGTACAAAGAGGCACCAAATACATATGCGCCACACAAATCTCATTCGATATGTGTGAGGGCTGTGATACTGCCCGAGTGCCCAAACCGAAGCAGGTGGTTTTCTTAGAGGGCCACATCCTAAGCCTTTGACCTAATGGTCTAACCCACAAGGCAGTGGAGCATCGTAAGGAGATGCAGTCCCATGGTAGCCGGTGACCAACAGTTGGTTCATACTCTATTTGTTCCCGCAGGATACTGGAGCCCATGTGCACCATTGATTTGGAATCCGGTTAAAGCGCCGGACATCCTCTCATTTTCGTAAACAACACCCCCGCCACGAGAAGGCGGTAAAACTTCCCTGACAGAGGCTATATACGCGTGGCCATGTGAAAGCATTTCAAGAGGGAGAGCGGACTCTTCCCACTCTCGGCCGTACCAGGGCATTTGGGGGTTAGCTTCTCATAGTCCTTTAGTCAGCAAGCAAATGTTTTGCAAGTGAAAAATGTTTTACATAAAAATCATCACTTGATTGTACTTACTAAATAAACGTGCCCCCTAATGCTCTGGTACGGCCGATAGTGGGGAAAGTCTGTTATTCCTCGTGAAATGCTTTCACATGGCCATGCGTATACAACAATTGACAGGGAAATCATTCTCACTACATTCTCGTGGCACAGGTGTTGTTTACGAAATTGAGGGAACGAAAAGCGAATGTCTGGCGCTTCAATCGGGTTGGTGGATACGAAAGGCCCACCTAGGAGAGTTGAAAAACCATGATTCCAAAACAATGGTACACATAGGCTTCAGTGTCTTGAGGGAACAAATGGCGTATGAACCAATTATTGGTCACCGGCTTCCATGGGACTGCATCTCCTTACGATGCTCCACTGCCTTGTGGATCAGACCCTCAGGTCGAAGGATCGGGGTGTGACCCTCTAAGAAAACCACCTGCTTCGGTTTGGGCACTCGGGCAGTATCACAGCCCTCACACATATCGAATGAGATTTGTGTGGCGCATATGTATTTGGTGCCTCTTTGTACCAATATCTGTGTTGAAATAAATAAATAAATAATCACATTATAACCTATAAACTGCAATTTAAAATAACATATATTAAAACTATCTTCTAACCTCTTTGTTGTGGACGTAAAAAACGCTGAATAAATGGGTAGAAATTAAGAAGAACTAATTTATTTAATCCAATTAATCTGCTTATCAGATCGAGAATTAAGAGACGAATTTCAAAGCGATCTGAGCATCGTTCCAATTTTCGGAAAAGTTTTTCAGCAAATGTTTGTGGATCATGTAGCATATTTAAAGCATGGAAATTAGTCAATTCTGCACGCTTTCTGATTTTACGTTCTTTTTCTTTATTTACATGTTTTATTGACCGTTCAAGACGTTTCTGTCGATTTTTTGTCTTAACACCAACCCGATGTCCCAATCGTAATTGTTTTATTTTGGTCTCTTCATCCTGTGATAAAAGAGAGTAAGGATATAAGCTATATAGTTTAAATTAAATCGTGATTGTCACGGTCAATTATCCAGTCACTTATTATGAACACATAGTTCCTTCATACAAATATACTACTTTCCTAAACAGAAAGACCCATCACTCACACTTACGACAGTAATATCTTTTTTATCGAATATTTTTCTTTTGATATACCTTTTTAAGAACTCCTATTTTACTTAGATTAACGAAAGTGTATCGATATTTCGTTTTTTTCCCATATTACTAGTAAATTTATTAGACTATGTGTAACTGATTAGAAGCTTTAAAATAAATGATGAAACCATTTTATGCATCGAACTTATTTTCCTATATTAAATTAAGTGTTCAAGACAAAGTCATTTAACGCTACCGATGCAGGTTACATTCCTTTTGGAAATTCCGTACGAAACTGCCAGACAAATATTTCGTGTAAGGGTTACCTATAATAATTAAGGAATAAATGGTGTGAATAAACAGTCGGACAGGGGCAACTTTAATCAACAATTCAGTCCACTTTTCATTCCTGACATCTCATTGCAGATTATCTCAATAATAATATATTGGGCAGCGAAACCTACCTCCATAAAACTTTAAGTAAATGAATAACGTTGTAAATTAACCAAAAAGCACAATAAACTGGAAGTCGTTCGAATTAAGAACAACACGACTTACATCTGATCCTGAGTCACTGCTTGTTTCCATCTCGTCAAGGGCCTTTGACTTTCCTAAGAAAAATTGAATAGCAGGAACATAAACCTGGAGAAATGATTTCAGAAAGCGAAAACCTACTTTCTTGTTGCATATTAGACACGAGTCCGCAATGACGTTGGCAGTCCGCGCATCATTCCACACATTTTTCTTGAACAAGCACAGTAAAATTAGGACAGCTTCACGAGCAACAGTTGAACTGTTATCTTTGATCATCTTCGAAAGAAACGACAATATGACCTGAACAGCATGTCAGAGGAGAAGCCGAACTTACAGCATTAGCTTTTGTCTGTTTTTGACATTTATTCATTCGTTTTATGTCACTTACGAGGAAGTGACGCAACGTTTTTCGAACCTGTTTATCTCTACATCTATACAACTTGAATGCGATATCAACTGCTTGTGTAGCTGGAATCAAGTTTTTAGTTCGAAGTCTCATGAATGCTCTTAAAAAAGCCTGAGAACTGTTATATATTGGGTTGAAATTTACCATACGCATTTCAGGGTGCATACCAAATGAACGCGACAACAGTATTTGAATAACACTGGTAGTAAACTCTGCAACATGTTCAGGATAATACCTTACAACCTTTGTGAATTTAAAAAGACTCGAAATGTGTTACTTGAGATAAGAATGACAAAAGTTCCTCTAGTCTACTTATATATTGAGAAGGGGCAGAAGAAAATGACTGTTTTAGTGTGCTAAAGTTTTCGAGTTGTTCCTCAAACTGAAGAAAATTATGTGATTTTTTATCTTACGTCTGTTCTGTATGATAGCGGATCCCGCGTAAGGTGATAACTTAACTCCGACAACGGCATGTGCTGCATCGCTACGTGCAGTCCGAAAGTACCGCTAGCTCAATCCAATTTCAATAGCAAAGATAGGAGATCTATCTACCTATATCAATCCATACAATTCGTAGTACCATGAAGATCCAGCCTCGCTTTGGATGTATCAACGAATAGTGCTGGTGTTATGTGTTTTAGTTCCGAACTCCAGTACCTCTCTATAAGGTGAGAGAAACGGACTCATGATGTTAAAAATTCAGTCCCGAACTTGAACTTCCCTATAGTGTGCTCTCACATGATCAATACTACAATCGAGTACAAGATAAGGTACACCAGTGCCGATATAATCGTCCAGTATAAGTTGCATTCATTCAACCAGTGTATATAGGATATAACAGTTAATAAGTCCCTAAAATAAATAATTCGAAAGTGATACCGACCTCACTAGTCTTACTGGACACACCTTGACTGAAGGGGCTCGGTCATACATCCCCACCAGATCACGAGTGAGTACAACGTGCTACGATTCCCTGCAACTTCTAAACAACTTAGACCAAACGTTTCTTGGTATACCGATAGACTTCCAAATATGTCTTCAAACCATAATATTTGACTGGGTTGGTACTCTTCGGTTATAAACATTTTACGTGTAAATGTGTTGTCAAACTTCAAATACCCGTAGCATACTTAATGGTGAAACCGGCGTGATCTGGTGCGCGGAACAGTAAACTGTGAGTCTACTCCTTGTTGTAACAGCACATATCATTTTCTAAATTTACTTTAAAATATGATATCGTTTTCATATTTTCAGATACTTTTTCCCTTCCCTTTATATGACTTATCTTCATCCCTATGGAACAGACACCTTAGCTTTTTAATATTAAGATTCTTTCGCCTCCCACCTATCAAGTCAGGACCTACAATATAAAAACTGGTCCTTCTATTCAAAAGATGACTTCCACAAGCACTGTGTGACGGACCAGTGTGCACAATTCCTCGAAGCTTAGAAGATACTGTCTCGCGATTTTAACAAGTGCGTCACATCCAGCATATCTAGTGGTGATGTTTCTGAGCCTTACGACACATTACAGAGGGCTATCCTTAAATACGGAGAACTAATAGACTGACAAAACTGAACCAACTCTTCCACAACACCGAGTTGCAATACGGCCGGCAACAGAAATGTTGCTACGCATGAAAGAGGTGGTTAGTCAACGGACCTTTGGCGATGACCCGTTTAAACAGCGTTTCCTGCCTGAGCTTCACGAGCAAGTGCAGGTAGTATTTGTTTCATTTAAAAACAACGTGAACGAATTGACTGCTAGTGCCGACTGAATTCTGGAGACCACCAAAACTTCGAATCCCCGAAGTCTATTCACTCAATGAAAAATCCCAAACAACACAAAGTGACATTACAGAACTCTGTCATACTCTGAAATGTTACCTTAGTATTCGTCATTACCGTAGACGCTTCCAAAATGCTCGAAGGAGTCCTTCATAAGAACGATTTGTCGCTAGATCACGAGAGATAGATAACCCTGATTAGTGCTCGTATCATAATCACCATGGAAAATATCAAAATCGCGGAAAACTCTGCAGTCTCTTGAGCTCCGAACCATCCGACATGAAAACCCGTTCTGGAAACTTCCCAGCTGACACGTGTTAACGGTAACTGTAGCTGGCGAACCTATCTGTCTTTTGCACATCAATGATGTGATAATATACGGTAAGCGGTATGTGTATCTTAACATGGGTTCACGCCAACCCATCCAAAGGATCTTCATGGATGCTGCTGTTTCTATGCCAATCGTTGGTATAGAACTGCTACAACATCACAATCTACACATCGACACGCTCCAATGAAGGCTAACAGGTGTAAATACTAAATTATCTGTTTTTGTAACTACGTTTGCAGTTGCAGATTGTTCCTGGTCACCGTTAAGCACAAGATCGACCCATGCTATCAACAATACTCGATGGGAAACTCGAACTAAAACAAACGCTACCGAAAATGCCGTGTGTAACCAATAATGTAACACAACAAAGCACAACTACAGTACTACCTGTATTTTCGAAAGTTCATCAGTTAGCTCCCGGAAAGCTAATGTTGGCAAAAGACAAATTTGAGTGCGCGATAAACTTAAGAATTAGCCGGCTGTCGGACAGTCTGTGTGCATTTCCCTTGAAAATGGTTCTTGAAAAGGGCAGCGATGATTGGCGCCTAACCGGTGACTATTGGCTACTGAATATGGAAACCACTCTCGATCGTTACCTTTTCCTACACATTCACGATTTGATAGCTACCTCCAAAGATACAACCGTCTGTCCAAAAATCGATCTGGTTTAAACATATAAACTTCATTGCAACAGACGATACTTTTAAGACAGCTATCATCACTCTCTTTGGACTTTAGTTATTTTTATGCCTATCTCTCGGTTTAAGAAATGCCGCATCAACTTTTCAAACATTGATCGATGAAGTTTTTAGAAGAATCAACTCCGTATACGTATATATAAATGACTTCCAGATACAGAATCTGATCTCCGAAATCTGAAACCAAATTCCGAACGACCACAAAATCACAACATCATTATAGACACCCAGAAGTGTCAGACAAACCGATTCCCTAGATATCCTAGTTCACACAATTGATAATCAAGGCGTGCGACTTCTGAAAAGCAAGGCGCGGTCATTCTGGTCTTCTCAGAACGAACAACAGTCAATCAATTTTGCGGTTTCGACGGCCTGGTAAATTTGTAGTTGGATTGATTTCTAACGATTCGATTCTGGAATCTAAACACAAGATAACGCAGAAAATTCACATTTAACGTTGACTACGTGCTGGGAGTTGGCAGTAGTGAGTGTGTGAACAAGAGTTTCGAGATTATATGGCTCAGCCATACAGGAAGGGTTGTAGTGGCATTGGATCATAACCACACTATCCTCAAAGCTGAATACGAGATTACTCGGAAAACAGGTATTCAATATTTAACGCGAAGAAATACCTAACGATGGAGAAGGCGCGAATAATGAATTGAATAGACTAGAGTTGATCGAACGGCATGGCTCGGCCATGCAGGCGTGGTCTCTGCTGAATGTTACCTTATATCTTCTTTTCATATTAAATATATTGTTCTTTCTCTAGCCTAACCTTGTTCTACATCATGTATTGGTAATTGATACGATACAGTGAGTTGGTGTAGTCGATGGTGTGACTTCCACGTAAGATCTTATAGATTAGGCAGTCATATCATGACAAATCTACAAATTTAGGATTAGGTCTATTATTAGAGCAGTACTAATATCATAGTAGACCATAAGTTCTACAGGGTCACCTCATGTAACCTCTTGAATTTCGTATTGAGTGTAACGCTCTCTTCCAGCACAAATGTGTTCTTCAGAAGTACCAGACGTCATATTTGCCACTGTCACGATAGGAATAGTCAGAGCGAACTATGATGCGATCTCCACATAGGATCTTACATATTGTGCAGTAGTATCGTAACAAATCTACAATTTTGGGATTAGGTCTGTTATTATAATAGCAAAGATAAATGTAATAATGCTGAGGTGGAACATAACTGGTACATACAGGATTGCGAAATCCTCATGAAACCATTAACAGACTGACATCGTGAAAATGCGAAATCCATCAATTTGAACGAAAACATGAAATAAGCATTCTCAACAGATGAAAACGTTGTTGCAAAAGCAATCATGCTCGCACACCAGGATCTCAAAAGACCCATTATTATCGCATTAAACGCATCCTACTCGGTAATAGGAGGGGTCTTAAAACAATGAGTAAACAACACCTGGTAACTTTTAGGGTTCCCATGGAGACAGTTGCAAGACATTGGATCGAGGTATAACACTTTTGGTAGGGAACTTCCAGATATGCATTGTGGTTTACGGCACTTTCACTACTCAGTGGAAATATGAGAATGGGTCTCTTACGTTCTATCTAAGCTCATTTTCAGACAAGTACTTCCCTCGAGACTCTCAGCAACTAGTTTACACTTCTCAGGTTACTCCAGATATAAAACACACTTCTGGGGCAAACGGTGTAGTGGCAGATGCTTTGTTTCGTATAAATCCCTTGAACAGTTTCGAGAGGATCGACATTAAACTCCCTCAGCTCCAAAAAGAAGACACAGATCTTCAACACAAGTTATCTTCGACAAAATATTAAACTACGGATCAAGCAAGTGGGAACGGAGGAAACTTTACTATATTTACAAACTTTACTATTGCTTTACATTTACACGGTAGGACTGAACAATCGTGCCGAAACACTACTGATGCAACGTCTTCAACACTTTGCACGTTCTCATCCAGGTGCTTGTGAAGCCATCAAACTCAGAGCTGAACATTTTTGTTGTCCTGGTATGAGTTGATTACACATAAAAGTGTTCCTTCAGCTCTTTCGAAACTCCGGACCATTTTCTTCTTCATTTTCTAGGAAACTTACCGGGTACAAAAATATATTCTCAAATTGTATAAACCGTTACATACGATGGCCAGAAGCAGCGCACATCAAAAACATTACTTCAGAAACACTTGCTTGCGCCTTCGTCGGACGATATATATCAAACTTTGGCTGCCCTTCGACCGTCATTACAGATTGTGGACGACAAATAAAATCTGGACTTTTCCGTTGTCTCACTACACCTTTATGGATCCCGCGATTCCGAATGACGCCTACCACCAACATGCTAACTGGATGGTAATATGATTTTATCATCAGTCAAAAGCTTCACTCTCAGATGTAAGCGTTTCAAAGTGGACCAAAGCTCCTCCACTCGTTTTACTTAGTATTCACAATGCAGCGAAAGCTGACGCTGTAGCACAACTCGTTTACGGAACCACACCCCAACTTTCAAAATGATTTGTAGATCCCTCATCATCGTCAATGAATATGAATCTAAGCTACTTACATCAGCAAGCTTATAAACGCTATGCGTTCAGTTGAAGCTGTTTCCATTCGACCACAGTTAACCGATGTTCTTTATGAAGGGCCTTTCAAAATATAACTATTTGCTGACGTTGTATTGCATTTGAGGTAAGGTTTCAATCAGAATAAAAATTTAATGCTTCCAAAAAATCCAAATATACTTTGAGGTAAGGTGGGAAACAGTGGATGTTTAATATATTCGTCATTTTTATACACAGTGACCGACAACAAATGAATCAAGTAAGAACTAGAATACGAATGTTCATGAACATATATGAAATTACATGGATCAACTAGTGTTTACATTGGTAACAAACTACTAAAGTGTAATAGGACTGAGTAGACATAATTGTTATCAAATTTTAGACCTCTTCACTACTTCACTGAACTTATATTGACACTGGCACCATAAATCAGACGCAGTTTTATTAGAATGCGAATAATACTGTCAACATAATACCTAGCGATTGTATTGTGTGGAATAAATCCGTGACTGCTTTGGATGACTGGTCTAATCTGCACCGTGTTGAAACGAATCGAAACTGTCCGGGATGCAAATAAGTTAGTGTTTATCAAGTAATAATCGTTCAGTATAATAATGGAACGTAAGCAACATATGGATGACTAAATAGACAGACAATCAAAAAAGGGACATGGGAAAGATTCATGTACGAAGCATTCAGATAGGTCAAACACCTAAATGCAAATAAACCAATATTAACCAAACTAATGAACTTGAAAAGTCAGAAGTGCAGTCAAATATCGTATGCCAGACATCCATATAAACCTACATATATAACCTCAAAGACTAATGAGAAAATGTTTATAACTGATATCAAATAAATCAAGGGCGTGATCCAATTTTATTCGTCAGTTGTTCACCACCTCTAACGCCTTGACTAATGAAATGGAATCAATTCCACGAATAATCATTTTTAAGAAGAATACCAGATCTTCACCGGATAACCGTAGGTCAACCTATTGGAAAACTATCGACCTTTCCAAATAGTGATTAGTCGAAATATTTGAGTACATAATAATATAAAAGCACAGTTCTCTGTCATATCACAAAATTTCTAAGTATTGGATCGATAGATGATAAAGCAAAGTATTGTTAATTGAACAGTTGGCAGCTGGGCGCGGGTGTTTGTGTTGTCGAGCGTGACTGATAGGAGATGAAGTTTAATAAGCATGTTAGTAGTTCTCGTCGTAAAGCCCGTAAACGTTACTTCAACGCCCCTTCTCACATTCGCCGGCGGCTAATGAGCGCTCCTCTGTCGAAAGAGCTTCGATCTAAGTACAAAGTTCGGAGTATGCCCATTCGCAAAGGTGATGAAGTACAGATTGTTCGAGGTGAGCGAAAGGACCTCAATCCTGCAAAGGTCATCCGTGTTTACCGGAAAAAATATGTTATCCATATCGAAAGGCTCCAATGTCGTAAAATGAATGGAGCATATGCGCCTATCGGCATTCACCCATCTAATGTAAGCGTTTATTCTATTTTAATGTTCTCTAGGTCGTGATACACAAATTAAAGTTGGATAAGGATCGCCGCTCATTGCTGGAACGCAAAGCTGCTGGAAAACTTGCTGGACAAGACAAAAATAAGTACACAGAGGAAACTATTGAATCTTGATTCGTAATACACATATTTAATGGTAATTATGTTTTGACTGTCTTTCTGAACGTTTGTGCCAGTATCCGTTGAGAGCTTGTGGGTTTGATCAGTCTCTTGTACCCTGTTTAACGTAATTCCTCAGTCCAGATTTACACAATAAAACGTAGGCTTATTTATCTGGTCCTCATATGTTGCTGATAGCACTGCTTCTAACTGCTCACCAAGTTAGCTCTGTTCATTCTTGTTAGTCAGTTGTAGAATTGCTAGTCACTTGAGTACAACTGTCCACCTTTTAAGAGCTAACTAAAAAAGATGTAAAGTTATGCGTACTATATATATATATATATATATATATATATATATATATATATATATTTCAAATACTGGGTTTCATAAACCTTAAAATGTTTGGTCTTGGGTTCTCTTAAAACATGGGTGTGGATTCAGTTTGGTCTGTCTATGGTTTTACAGTCATGATAATCTCGACAGTAATGCAAGAATATTCTGTTTGCTCGGAATTGTCTTGACCTTTGATCAGACACATTGATAGCCATTTGGTGTACATTGTCGGCCTGATTGTCGAAATAAACTACAATTGTTGGTTCAGAATAATGGTAACGTTAATCGGTAGATAAATTTAGGCGTCATTAATGAGCGGTTTGAAAAGTGGAAACCATTGATAGCACAGTAGAAATCCATCAGTTTTTAATTGAAATGTGACAGTTGGCGTTGACCACAGTTACCTGGGAGAAACTACATCAGTGGTATAACAAAATAACTACTAAAGAATTTCGGATAGCAAAAGTATCAATGATAGTCATAAACATACACTGGAGAATCTATTGGATAGGGTTCACGGTTTTTGGTCGATATTTGGCACTGCAACGTATAGCGTTTCTGTCACCGTGTCCATCTCAATTAAGTTTGTTGTAGGGTCGCCACAAGTCCGAGTGTATTTTTTTATGTGATAAGCAGTGGGGTTCATATGAATTCAGTCTTATCGGAGACTCGTTAGGCGGATGTACCTGCAACTCAGTGTTGAAGTTTGCACGAGGTCGAGCTCCACGACATTTTTATAAACATATCCAAGCTATCTGGTTGTGCTGGCTTTGGGTTTACGTAGACACAGCAGCTAACAAATGTCTAGACAAATCTACATACCAAAGTTTAGATTCTACAGAATGGGTCCGAGAAACGACTATTTGGTGCGGGTTAACCCCTGAATATTTAGCTAGAGCTTAACGGACGCGCATAGCCAGACTTAATGGTCTGAAACTGCAGGTTTTACTTAGACCAATCGCTAGTGACCTCACTAACTGCCCTATGCTCCACTGGAGGCAGCAAGCTTAAGTATGTTCTGACTTTGCTACTCCTAGTTTTCCTACGTATCCGTATTGCATGTGTTTTGTACCTAAATAAGTACATTGAGAATAGTCGAATATGTGCCTACACGTTTTGCGCTGAACCGTCGGTTGTCATTAAGATAGTGTATCTGGAAGTTGCGAAGACTAGTGGTGGCCCGTCTCATGGAATCGACCTAATTAAGGAATGTCAGGGCGGGTTATGCTAATTTGGACTATCACTCAAACCGCTAGCCTGATTTTAAAGGACCTGATACTTAGCCAATAATTCCCAATCTGTCGTTCAGGTATACGCGAGCAATCCTTCGAAGACACCTAGGATCAAGTAACAACAAGCTGTGAATGACCTGTGCGCTTTACAGCCATAATACCGAAAACAAACCCGTTGATCGGCATATTAATATCTCGCTCTTACCACAAGTTCACAAAGTTGGTAGGAGCTGAGGCGGTTCCCTCGACTACCGACTGATCAATTGCTGGTCTGCGTGATCAACCTCCGTTCGTACGTTCCCTTGACCTTTATTCTTATATAGTGCCGATAGTCTGCTGATATAAGATGTCTCAAACGGAAGTAATATAGATCCCTGATAAGCCTTACATTGTTAATAACTGTATAGACAATTTCTTGAGACATTTTGTAATACCTTTATTTACTAATGACGTCGCAAGTAGGATACCATTATTCGAAATAATATGGTCTTTAACCTACACACTGAAATCGCCTTACTATTTCCCCTATCACTGTCGTAATGATTGTTAACTCCATAACCTGAGTTCTAATCATTAGCCTATAAGTTTGAGCCTTGTTACACTGACTATGGCTTGTAAAATCATATAACACAACGAGCTCTTATTGTGTGGTTCATGGTCAAGTAGATGAAACTGTACTTATACACTACAAAATAAGTCAACAAGTAGTAATAATACCACTAATTTTAATAATATACACAATGACAGCAAATACAATACTCAAAAACTATTGACGTCAAAAATTAAATGTCAACAGATAATAAAGAAACACTTGGAAAAATAATGAGAAACGCACAGAAAATCTTCATATGTAGAATGTTCAAAGAAACCATGGATTTCGAAAAAATATACAGTTTGTTGTTTCATAGAGTTAGTTTTTAATACTGTTAGCATGACTAATTCAATTGGTAAAAGCTGAGAAAAAAAGTATCTTACGATGTTGGTTTATTTTAAATCTTAGTAAGAAAGATAATAAGAAAAAAAAAACATCCTGGCGAAAAGCAACCGATCATTTATATTTAGTTCAAGTTAATGGGTGCATATAATTTGATGATGATGTGAGAGCTCTAGGATCTTTGTCAGATTTTTTAAAATTTTTCAAAATTGGATAAATGTTATTAAAAGCTTCATAAATTTCTTCACGAACCTTTGCTCCTACATAATAATAAAAAGAGAAATAAAATACATAGAATATTAGTAGTTTTATAGGCAATTATTTACATATTCAATTGAGTAAGATAGTCTTAGGGTTGACTGGTAAAGTATATCGCTGTACCACTAATAGCTATAGGATAACTTCATTCTCACCCCTTGGTTTTCCCTAAGTCACTGTGTTTATGATAAACGTACAACTAGCAGTGAAAGTATTTAGCCTGTATCTAATGAATTGCAAGTGTCACAAAAACCCCTTTACCTATTTCAGCTTAAGCAGTAAGCACGTGTATGTGAACATGTACTTGATCAGCGATTACGGTGTTCGACTTCCAACTATAGTTTTGACCAAAACTCTAATTACTTAAGTCTGGATAATCGAGTATTATCATTAGGTCTTAGACTTGAAGTGGCTAGAAATCAAGTACATAAATCTGTAGACAGTAATGAGTTATTAGTAAGACTTGGTCCTTCAGTGCTATTCAAACTAATGTCAAACATTCTTCTTTAGTTATCTTTCTCCTATCCTCAATTAAATAGGATAATACCAAATATATTGAACTGATGTTGACAATGTCGTTGGTGAGAAATCACAAAGTGAAACAACAATTACTCAGTGCTCTAGTCTTCAGTGTTTATGTCTAGTTGATGATCACGAGGCTAATAAAAACTATCATCCACTTCTATTAATTTTTTCCGTCTTAATCACTATATTTATAACAGAACAATGCTGAAAATATGGTGACTGGAATTTATGAAGCACTAAATAGCTAGATTTAAGCACGAGGACTATGGATTTAATAACATATTATTTATTGTTATCACATTCGTCTGAAGTAATATTTTAGCTTCTGTCAGGCAGTCCTAAGCTTGTGGAACGTAGCACATATTTGGTCCAAGTTTCTACATTACATAAACACTGAAATATGAATAAAGTATTAGTATCGGTGTTAATACAAAGCTTTGATGTTAAAGGTGATTTGAGGAATAACGCACAAAATAATTTTGACATTCACAATCTGAGAGTAAAAAAGTGGGTCTGTGCTGTCACTGGTCACCGTAAGGATACCGATCCCAATCAGATGTTTGCATCTACGAAAACACTGACTTTATGCATTGATACCACATTTTGGTTTGGCTTCCCCTAGCTGTAAGTAGATGTGTAGCTTCAGTCAGAGTAAATAATGATGGGCTTCCCAGAATAAGTTTGTTTGAAGTTGAGAATACAGATGACTGGATTCTGACACGATGGTTTGACTATAACTTCTTGAGCACAAGTCCTAAAGTTGTGGCATAATGGATGACCACTCCTAAATAATTCCGATCGGCAACATAACTGGTTCCTTAGTCCGCCATACCACACAAACTATTAATGAAAATACTAAGGATTTGTATAATTTAAAATATAGCGTCGTTAGCATGCTAATTTTTAGACTTATACGATAACGTTAAAGCCATATGTGGTTCTTCTTATCTACCAATGGTTTCAGCTAGAGATTAACATATCTTCAAACCATACTTGTTGGATTCATTTACATTAACAAATTCATGAATACTAATAGTAGTAACAATAATACATAGTACCACTGAGTTCTTATGTAATACTGAAATAAATCCACTTTTTCTTACCTGTTAAAACAATTTTCCCAGAAACAAAGACTAATAAGACTATCTTTGGTTTAGTCATACGATAAATTAACCCAGGGAATAATTCTGGCTCATATCTAAAATTAGAAAAGAACAATCCATATGAGATATGATCGAAATGTACTGTATTGATTCACTACAAAGACAAACATGACATAAACTACTTCAGGACATTTGATAATGGTGGATAAAACATTAATGCGAGTTACCATATACACGTTAAACCCGAGAACATTATACTTCCATTTGATTGAACTAGCTATTGTTAGTAGTACCGAAGAAATGTGAGTGCATCTATCGATCCAGTATGATTCCCTCTTTGGTTTAGGCCCTAGAGATGGTGCATATTAATAACTTGAAGAGTTACCAGACATTTTGAAATACGAGTCAGTAGAGATCGTGATGTGGTTTTCTTTTGAATTTCTTAAAAGAGTGAGATGAGCTTCGCTAACAGAAAGAAGTCTTCTGATTGTAATTTCAACCAAATTATATCTCCCATTATTGTCTACTGATTTTTTTGTTAGCATTCCCCTTAACACATTTCTTCACTAAGTTATCTCTATATTATGTAGTGCAAACCATTTCTCGTGCCTAGTTGTAGTAGGTTTTACGAATTAAATAAACTAATAAAGAACACAAGGAAAGAATAATGCGTTTAGATAAAGGAATTAACAACTTGATATTTGTGATTTGTTTAGGAAACCTTTTTACTGTGGCAAGCAGTTAGAAAGTAGTAACATTAGGATTAAGCACACTTTGTGATTTTAGTTTTTATACATTGTTCCGTCGAATAAAAGCGAAGTAGAACGTAAGCAGCTAATTGCAGTGAGTCCTAGAGGTAAAGGCCTCCGGAATAACGTACGGACTGATAGTGACTCGCGAAAAATTACAACAGTCGTCAGGACTATGAACAGAATCACGCTTTATATCAATTTAACTTGACAATACTAGGTTGACTCTTCACTTAAGATTCTTTTCTAGATGAAGTAAAGTGGGCAGATGAAACGTACCGAGTAGTCACTTGCTCGCCCGCAACAGGATAGTTAAATTAATACCAATACAGAAATTGTTTTAACCTAAAACTTAACTGCCGCCAATATCAACCGTTTCTGTTGTTCAAGTACTTTAGCAACTGAGACGTTTTCAGTATTGCAGTTTAGACCACCTAGAATTGTATTTGAAAATAAAAATAAGGAACCAAATTAATTGACAAATACAACTACTTGCAACCCCATTTAACCGATCACCCTAATTTATTGGTTAATTGGTCCTGCAACTATCAGACTAAAAAGTCCAAGTTAGTGAAAATGGCGTATAAATAAATAGGAAATTAGTTTAACAGCTACTTATGTATCGTTCGAATAAACAATCCGGGTATAGTTTGCCAAAAGACCTAGAGAAAGTGTAGTGACAAATAAGAAACTGTAAAAGTATACATGAAGTGCTATTCTGAATCGTATAGTATGTTGTGAAACATAGATAATGGATTCTAGGAGTATTGAATTAGGTTCTATACTCTCATCCTATTGTTCAGAATGATTAGTAAATATTGTATTCAGATACAAGTTTCTTTATTCAATTTGAAATGAGAGAAACCTTAAGTCTTTTGAAACATAAAGCGATAGAGAATAGGAAGATTTTGTGAGTAGTAGTAAATATTCTATTATAAAGAAGAAACTTGGTACAGTTGCAGATGGGAAAATTGTCTAGCTTTTTATTGACGGAAAAATACTAAATGTTTCAATAAACACTGAAACAAGCGAATGTCCGGCGCTTTAACCGGATTCCAAACAAATGGTGCACATGGGCTCCAGTATCCTGAGGGAACAAATGGTGTATGAACCAATTATTGGTCACCGGCTACCATGGGACTGCATCTCCTTACGATGCTCCACTGCCTTGTGGATCAGACCTTCAGGTCGAAGGCTCGGGAAGTGGCCTCCTAAGATAACCACCTGCTCCGGTTTGGGCACCCGGGCAGTATCACAGCCCTCACATATATCGAATGAGATTTGTGTGGCGCATATGTATTTGGTGCCTCCCTTGAAACAGGCTTAATTGCTAGTTCAGCTATTGTTCTTTGAGTTGCCACAAAAAATATTGTTATTAAGTAAAGGAAAAAAAACACCTTAAGAACTTACGTTGCAAATTGACCTTGTGACAATACTAAACCTTCAAGACGTATATGAAAGCGGACATCACATGAACCAACCATATTTTGAATTTTGAACTCTTTGAAATGAGCCTGAAACATATTACTTTACATTATAAACGAATATAAATTCTAGTTGATTATTGTCATGGTGCAAACTTTATGGAGTAAGATAGTACAAGGATTATGTGAGATAAAAAATGGGCATGTATGGATGACAAAACGAGACTACCGTTTACATTACTAAATTAATTGTGAGTAGCTTCAATGTCACTTCCAATTGTGAAACAATCGTAGACTACAATTGATTCACTTTACTAATTTCCTAGTCCATTACATTTAATTGATTAGCAGGATTATTAACCTACGATTAATTAGCAAAAGAATAATACCGAAAATATTCGATGGAAGTAATTAGGTTACCGAATTATTAATTTCAATGTTTGATATTCAGACAGTCTAATCAACACAGTTAAAATAAATCATATCAAGTTACATAAACCCTGTGGAAGTTGCTTTAATAGAGCAGAAATCACACACCACCCTTATGACATTTCAGTTTGATGGCATCTAGTCTCATCCAGACAACATAGTATCTCGGAGTGAGTTGTGGATGAGTGTGCATAACACAAGCTTAACCAGCTAGGAAGGATGGTTTACAAACCTTCCAACAAATAATTTTCTAAGTAGTGCCCTACGTTTAACTTGGGTATTTTTTCGTTAGTGGTTTTTATTATGCAAAAGCAATGGTTCTACAGGATCTTTGATCCGTTAACTTTTAAACACCAATTTTCACAGCAAGGTAATAAAAAACGAGTTGAACATAAGAGTGACTTTATAAAACATCCACTCAACTGCAAATAAAATTCAAATATGTAGAAATGTAATAAACTGCTCTCAAACACCCTGGTACAGCTGAAGGTGAGAAGAGTCCGCTTTACTCCTCGAAATGCTTTTATACGACTAAACGTTTATAAACTGTCGGGGAAGCCATAATATCTACCTTGCGAATCAAACCTTTACGTCAGAGGCTCAGGGATTATCCTTCTATGAAGACCACCTAGTTCAATTTGAGAATTATATATTTTATATGGTACATCCTGTATATGGTGATTAGTTGTACCTGATAAATTTAAACGGATAGTAAAAAAAGACACTGCATACAATAGATAATACAATGACAGAATTACTTCAAATCCAAGCCTTTGAATAATACGAGCATATTTTCTTGCAGCTAGTCTTGCTTGCTCTTCACTTTTTGCACCTGTACATACCATTTTACCAGAAGAAAAAATCAAAGCAGTTGTTCGAGGTTCACGTATACGCATTATAACTGCAGCAAAACGTTTTGGATTATATTCAGCATTTCGAGCACTAAGTGCTATATTCTTCAAATTTAATTTACATCCTAAATATACGGTACATACAATATTCCTTATTTGAAAACAAAGAACAAGTAAAAACTAATTAACTAAGATAAAAGTATATCAATATTAATGGTAAATAATACTTAATTGACCATAAAATGATCAAATCACTGATAACTTTTAAGAACAACTTTTATCACGAGTAAATGTCCAAATAATTTAAACTATAAACCACTGATCTTGCCTATTATCCATCTTGTTTAGGAAAATAAGTAATATAGTCAAAACAAAGTGTGAAAAGAATTAACAAAATTATTTACACTTACTTCACTGGTTGAAATCATGAGTAAGTCGAAGTTAGACCACGATGGTAAACCTGAAAGCACTGGACGGCCGTTTCGTCCCAGTATGGAACTCCTCAGCGGTGCACATCCACGATCCAACACCCCGCGACATTCGAACCCAGGACCTATCAGTCTCGCGCCAGGCGCTTCAGTCAGTCAGTAACAACGTAGAACTTCGTACGTACGTACATCAGCTCGGGTTGCCACACCAAATTAGCACAGAGATGCAGTGGTCGATTTAAATCCCGTAGTGGTAGAGGTAATAAGAGTATAAGCAGTAATCGGGAAAACTAGTGTTTGGAGATGTTATTTAAAGAGTATAATACAGTGAAATAAATTTGGGAAGAGAAAAAAAAGAGACAAGGAGGAATAAGATCAAAATATGGTAGAACACAAAGAGTGTATGCACCTGCGCCATTGCAAATGATTTTGAGCTATGTCATTCAGGATCTCTAACCATCGGTTGCTATCATCTCGCGGTCCCCAACCAGGTAGTCTACACCTACCAACGTGACTCAGTCCACTCATCAGTGAATTCATGAATTTGTGTCATGTTTCGGTTTGGACGCCCCTAGCTTTCTTCCAACCTACTCTTATACCATTGAACATCGCTCGTCGGTAGTTGGGCATACGTAACACGTGTCCTAGCCATCTCAAATGATAACGTTTCACTACTTCATCAATTGATTTGCCATCCTTACCTAGTACCCGTTTCCTAACAACTGCGTTACTTACTCGATGGTCCCAGGATATACGAGCAATGTTTCGAATACATCTATGATCAAATACTAGTAACCTACGAATATCCTCTACTCTTACCGGCCACGTTTCACTGCCATAAAGTAGGACGGAACGAACAGCTGCGCAGTAAACACGTCCTTTGGTTGATAGACGGATATCTCGCCTGTGCCATAAATGACGCATGTTGGTAAAAGCTAGTCGAGCCTTCTGTATCCGTGCTGAGATTTCGTCACACACCAGACCACAAGGGCTGATGAGACTTCCAAAATAAGTGAAGCGATCGACACGCTCAATTACTTCACTCCCTATCATTAGTTCGGGTGTCAATGCAACCCAATCCTGAAGCAACATTTTGCATCGATCCAATTTCCTGAATTGAGAATGAATAGTATGTCCATTTTTCTCTGAGATTGTTTCGCTAACAGTCGGTTTCCTTAACAAGTCTGAACAATTGTCTGCTATAACCTATTGCCGCTGCCTTTTCCATCTCTCTTGCTTTCGCCATCCACCACTGTTCACGATCATTGCGTAGACTTCTTGTCAGCTTGCGCTTAAGCTGACTCCGTTCCTCATTATGTTCAGAGCCAGATGGAATGAGTTTTCGCCAGGCGCTTAACTAACTAGACGACTGAGCCGGCATACAACGATGTTAATGTCTAACTTCAACCAATCCACGAAGTTGCGCCACCGTACACCATTGTCTTCAGTGAGTTCCTATCTCACAACAGACCTGTTTGAACTCCACTAGTAGCGAATTCTCACTAGAACTCCAGGAGTATCTCTTGAAGTCAGTCACTAGTGAGCAGGTGATTATTATTATCAGACTGGGTTTTGTGGAGATTTTTAGAAATTTCACGGGTTGAAATCATGAGTCAATTGAAGCTAGACCACCCAGTCTGATACTATTTACACTTACGTTGAAGTCACATGGACAAAGCATACCCTGACATCACCAAATATGTAAATTAATTGGAAATACCAGTTGAGAAGTTTAGGTATGACGATCGAAAACCCATTGCAGTTAAGTACTTGCTGTTATTATTATCATTATTATTATCTACTTCCAATATTTTCTTATATTTGAGCAACTTTGTTGTTCTGTATTTGAAATAATATATATTTTATCTCAGTCATATTCAATGTAAGATTTGACATGCATATGCGTCGGCCCAAGAATTTGCAACATCACAATGGGATATAGTTATCAAAAATCCAGGAGTGGTAACAGTATCAGTGGAAGAAAACATTTGGCGTAGGACGAAGAAATATAATATAAGCAGATTTCAGGACTAAGAATCTAAGAGAAGACAAAGACTGAATACACCTGTACCATGGAGAACGATTCTGAACAATTTACACATTAATAAGACTTTCTCAATGATATGTTTTATGTCATAACAGACTATATTTAGATTCTAAGGACATTACAGATTGTGGATTATAATAAAATTGAGGAAATAACAACAAATCTGTTCACTACTGAATGATTTTCGACGTCGATTCGACAAATATTTTTAGTCATCATTTTAAGTCACTGAGCAGATAAGAACATGACATTTAAGTTGACTATAATAGGAATGTAGTACAATACAGTGGAAAATCTATAAGAATATTATAAGATAACTAATCTAATTAAATAAAAACGATAACTGAAACATTTAAACAGATAGTTTCTTCATAAACTAATTTCAAGATCCCAATCAACCAAGTTTCAGAAAACAGAAACATTGACCAACTGGTTAAATCTTTGCGATTAAGAAAAGTAGAACCCGGTACATATATGCATTGATCTCGGTTGCCAGGAGTATATCGTAGATAAAATAGGTCAACAAGTGGTATTATTTTGAGAGGTCAGTACGTAATTATGAGCGGAATATGATGACTATTACAACTACTCTACTCGATCGTTGCTGCCACCTAGGCGTGGTGGTCGGGCTTGCCTATCGCAACTAACCAATCGAGCTATACTGGCAGGAACAATCGTTCCTCAAGGTCCTACCATGCCAGACAGGTCGGTTGAAGAGCGATAATACTAAAAGCAACAAACCCAATGTCCAAGGGCGAAGTCGTACCGCTGACTGTGCGGAGGTGTGATGGAAGTAAGGTGTTTCCTTCAAACAACCAGCATAGTAGCAGCGATGTTAAACTCCCACAAGGAGGGGTGGGGTTACAAAGGGTCGACCCTAAAAATACACACCTCGCCTTATCCCACGAATATCCTCCGGCGGTAAGGTCCCAACAAGTACGGGGCTAACACGAAATCTACCCAAAAAGGTGGTACGTGACCAACCTCAAGCAGTTGTCCCTTGGGCACTGAGGTCACGCTTTCAGGTCACCAAGACCACCTCTAAACCAATTTCCTCTTCAGGTACCTCCAGAGGAGCCCTTCCACGGTGTGGGCAACCGCGAAGTGATAACCAACCTCATACCTCTAACAGCACTCAAGATCACTATTCACAACCGATCTCCCTCTTCACTTCCCATTATTCTTCCTCCTTACAACACTAAACTTCCTCTTTACGCTTCCTCCTCAAGTGCCACCATATCCAGCGATTCTAGTGCGCGAAACACTATTTCAGGCCTATTGAAACCTTACTCCAAACTGCGCATTGGAGTCTTCAACGAATATACCCTATGTGAAATCGGCCAACAGGCCTCCTTGGTTAAAACCCTAGTATCTCGTACCATTGATGTATGCTGTGTCTCCGAAACACACATACAGGATCCTAGTCTGGCCATTCACTTGACCTTACCTCGCCAAAATAGAGAGCCGATGAGATACACCCTCCATGTATCTGTTCACCCGATGGCTAGTTCTCGTGCACTGGCAGGTGTAGGCATAGCATTAAGTACGAAGACAGAACAAGCACTACTAGAATGGATCCTTGTTAACAGTCGCCTATGTGCGGTTTGGATAAACGGCTGCGTAAGAACTCGGAAGGATAGGGACACACATTGTTTTTTCATTGTTTCTGTCTACGCTCACATTGATTGCAGCCTGGATGAAATAAAAGATTACTTTTACAGAAAGCTCTCCGTACTTCTTCATATATACTCAGGCCTAGTACTTATAGCAGGGGACTTTAATGCCCAGGTAGGTAGGTTAAACCAAACAGAAAGACATTTAGGTCGGTATTTCAGCATTCCGGCTCAGCGAACAGATAATAGTGACCGTCTGATGCAACTGTGCTCAGACAGTCGTTTATTTTTAGCAAGCACTAATTTTAAGCTTAAGGAGAGGCATGGTCTAACATGGTGACCTCCTACACCAAATTAACGATGGACTCAAATAGACCATATTGCCATTAGTCATTGTTGGAGAGGATCGACAGAAGACTGACACTCGTTCTGGAATACTTGTTTGAACTCCGATCATGCGCCTCACTGGACGCAGAAAAACTACACTAAGAAGACCCGTCAGAATTGAACTCAGTGACGAGAAAGCCTAAAGTAAATTCCGGGAACAACTGAAGTCACACTTAGGTAGTTCTGAAAACGAGGCTGACCCAGATGTTGCTTGTAAAGATAAACGAACAGCTGCGGAAACAGCAGTGACATTTGTTAGTGATTTGAATCAAAGGGTTAAAAAAACCAATGGATTTCTACTAAGTCTGTTGCACTGATGGATTCCTGTAAACTTATCCCATCAGGCTCTGAACACCATGAAGAATGAAAACAAATCAGATCTAGGTTAACCAGAAGTCTAAGGAACGACCGCGAGCAGTAATGGGCAAGGAAAGCAAGAGAGATGAAGGCGGTGACTGTAGGTAACACCAGACAGCTTTCCAGACTAATAAAAGAAACTGGGATCAAGAAGCTAAATGTAGATGAGACGATCTCGGAAAAAGACGACACTTATCTGCTCTCATCCCACATGTTTAGAACGATGGGCGGAACACTTTAAGGAGCAGTTCAACTGGCCTTCAGCTACTCTACAACTACTCACCATTCCCAGACAGTGTGAATGGAACATTGAAGTAGGTCCCCCAACTCTAGCTGAGGTTCAAAAGACAATAGCTAATCTGAAACGAGTAAAAGAAGCTGGTCCATAGGTCTTCAAGAATGGTGGTCCATTTTTAGTGATTAGGGTGACTAATATTTTAGCTAAAATCCGGGAGTTAGACGTAATCCCATCTGACTGGTCTCAATCACTGATTGTCCCAATATTTAAGGAGGGGTCAAAATCATCCTGTGATAAACATAGATGAATTAGTTTGACTGATATAGCATCTAAAATACTAGCCTTAATTATTATCGGGTGCCTAACAAACACTCGTGAACTGAAAACACCAGAAAATCAGGCTGGCTCCAGACCTGGTCGTGGTTGCATCGACCACATATTCACCATTCGTCAGGTTCTAAAACACAGACATACTTATCAGCGTCCGACAATGACAGTTTTTCCTGACATAAAAGCAGCATTTGATTCTGTTGACCGAGAGGCTCTGTGGCAGTGTCTGTCATTGAAAGGTGTACCTTAGAAGTACATGAATCTTGTGAAGGCTCTTTATCCGAACACTACTAGTTGAGTCAGATCTTATGGTGAACTGTTATCTGATTTTGTAACCTCGAGTGATGGCCATCAAGGCTGTATACTTTCTTCCTTTCTGTTTAATTTCATCATAAACCTACTGCTAGAAATAACGTTCTCGTCGACTGAATTTTCGGGTATTGATCTTTTACCATGAGATCCATTTATCGACTTGGAATACGCAGATAATATTGTCCTATTTGGTGAAGACGATGATAAAGTGCAGTCTTTTGGTAGCCCTGAACAACAATGCTAGGATGTTTGGGATGCGTTTATCTCCCTCTAAATGCAGGTTGTTGCTTCAGGACTGGTCTGTATCAACACCTAAACTAAGGATAGGGATTGAAGTAGTCGAACGCGTTGACAACTTCACTTATCTTGGAAGTCCGATCAGCCCTAATGGGTTGGTGTCTGACGAAATCCCTACACGGATTCAAAAAGCTCATTTGGCTTTTATCAACTTACGTCACCTATGGCGAAGACGATATATCCGTCTACTAATTAAGGGTCGAGCATACTGCGCAACAGTTTGTTCTGTTCTACTTTACGGTTGCGAAACATGGTCAATAAGAGTGGAAAATACTCGTAAAATACTAGTATTTGACCACAGATGTCCTAGAAAAATTGCTCACATCTGCTGGGATCACTGGGAAAGTAATAGTGAGGTTAGATACAATGTATTAGGGAATGATGGTAAATCAGTTGATGATGTAAATGTTCATCGACTGAGAGGGTTGGGCCACGTGGTGCGTATGCCTAAACACCGATTACCACGACAGGAGATGCTGATTAGTGTTGGAGACGAATGGAAGAAAGGTAGGGGCCAAACCGAATCGTGGCATCAGCCCTTGAAGTCACTGACTTCTGGTGTGAACATTGTTGGTAGATGAAGACCACTTGGTTATAGTTCCGATGACTATCGTAACCAATGGTTGGAGACCTTGGATGACATGGCTCAGAATCGATCACAGTGGTGTATGTATATACACTCCGTCTTCCCTTGAAATGTGAGACCAAAACCGCTCTCTATCTTTCTTTATGCCAACTAATTCTTTCTTCTTGTACTATACCCTTATACAAAACCTTACTTTTTATATATTACTGTCACTGATGTAACTACTTATATGAATTTGGTGTTCATCCTATTGTTCTAAAGAGGTGTGGCGACTGAGACCGATGCATATATGTGTCTGGTACTACGTTGTAGCTGACTGACTGACAACTACTCTAATTAATGAATAATTCGTACATACATATGTACCATCACAAGTTTCAGGTTACTTGTTGTAGAACTAGAAGACGAAATTCCTTGGAATGATTAAACGACGTTTTAATTGGCTGAACTTACTGTAATTGGGGTACCGGGATTGCACCATCTCGGTCTTGCAACGGAGTGGATAAAGTGAGCGGAGTACAAGGTGTTCTGCCTGGAATACTGGCGGCATTGTCAGATGCATGTAAGTTAAGATTGACTGAACCCCCAGGGATAAGTGGAGTTTTTTGTTGTAAACTTGAATCTCCTTGTAAAGGCAAATTGCCCAACAAGCTTCCAATACTAGCTACACTATGTTGCTGTGATAAGGGGCTGTAATAAAAAAAAGATATGAATAAGAGTTAATTATAAGATACCAACTTTACTCATCAGGATGATGTGCATGATAATAAATTCTGGTAAACTATAAGATATAGTGTAGGTAGTGTATGTACCACAAAACCACATTTTAAAAAATAAGTTACACTAAATAATAATCATAAAACATACTTTCTTAATAAAGGATGTTAGTGAATTCATATTATACGCTTCTCATTTTGCTAATAAAGTTTCCAAGAAAAAACATTACTGCAAAACAATCATACAAAATGGCCTGCTTTGAGAGGTTATTATTTATTGATGAAACACATGAGCATAAATGGACGTTACTTGGTTAGAATCGGTCATACATATAGATCAATAGAGAAAAGCCGAAATATAGGAAACCAAAGATTATCAATGTACAATAAACTTATTACAAAGTTTTGTTGTAAGGTTATCCCAACACTTTACAGTTACTACTGTCTTGTCTTATTTTTACTTTTAGATGACTTCTCTTACCGCTCTAGAACACGATAATTCGACGTATTAGGCTTTCACAAAAACGGAAGAGTACCAAGATGCCATTATATTCAGTGTAATAACCTGAAACTATGCGTTACTCCTAGCATAACGTGTTTCGCTATTGAATGCATCGAAGTTTAGATTACCAAATATTATGAAAAAGTACCACTTCATAAAAAGTGACATTAAGCCTTACGTGATCATTGCAATATAAAATTACAACTTAGTTTTTCATTGAGAACACATCAATATCTGAAGTTCGCAGGTACTCTCTACAACTTGGGGCTACAAAACTTTCGTTTCACTTTCCTCCGAGTCAGTACATAAGAGGGATATAGGATAGTGTGGTATCGAGTTTTGAAGAACTTAGGAGCAGACGGTTTTATAAACGGTATTGATCACAGTTCCTACTTACTTCTGGGTGAAATACTTAAGGTGAAGATGTACGAGATGCAAATGTCGCTAGAAACCTTAGCACCCAGTATCATCTATGTTTTTGGACAAAACATGGTGGTTATAGCTCCCATTGAAATCGAAGCAGGCATATTGCAACAAAATTTGGCACCGGATGCAGTTAAATTAGTATCGTCAGCTATTGTGAATAGCATAAGACAACATACGGTAGTGAAATCTGAAATGTTAAGCTGGTGGTAAGTGTATTACGCTTCTCGTTGTTCGAAAATGGGAGAATTTCGCCAAAAGGCAGGCTTCCACTCGAGAACAACTATATTTTCTCCATGAGTGTCTTCGCCAGCATGTTCTACCAACAAGATATAGACCCCCAATCAACTGCCCATTAGGATGGAGAATAGCTGAGCAAAGTGGAAGAAAAATGGTACACCTCATGATAACGGATGCACACTACAGGATCAGCAAATACCAACACGTCATAGTGGTGGTAAGTGTCCTTGAAACTCCATGACTACACTAACCATTTCTACGAGACAGCCGAAAAATAGGAATATCAAAATAGTACGGCACACAGTCAGACACCATAGTTTTGGAACGAATGTTGAATTACTTACCTACTATCTACAACAGATCTAACTACCAGAAATCTACATGAGTATGATCCAGGGATTGGGGCAGGGAGAAGCTAACCATCTCAATAAAAGACAGACACTACCGTTAGACAGCAGTTGCATAGTTCATTACAAACGTAGTTCAATCATACTTACGATCCACATGTGGCTGTTAGCGTTTTACATATATCATCGTTCTGGAAATGCTGTTTAAGACTAATAAAGATAATCGAAAGTCAGTCGAGTCACCACGTGGTGATTTATTACTTCTTAAACCTTTATTCAGGATGATCATGCTGCCTTTAGGGGAGTGAATATTAAAAGTATTTGTAACATTTTATCTATAAATATGAAGTGATCTGAAAATTATGGTAAACAGAGCACTACACTTAAGCAACAAAAAACACACCCGCTCAATACTTACTTCATAACAGAACAGTCCAACTAGAAGAATTATTTACCTAGAACAGCGACGTCGTACTATGTCCAAATGAATTTAAAATGCTATGAGCGTCAAATCTCAACAAACTATTAGCCATCCTCTTGAATTAGAAGCGCATTATTTGGTTTCAGTACGGGACTTTCAATGCCCAATTGATTGTTAGTATGACTGAACGGAACAAATGAAACTTACATTTAACGAGTTTATGTGTGTATCATCAAGCGATCACTGCTAACCTCAGGTAGGAGGCAGGGATATTACTAAGTTTGTATTATACGAAACATAGACAAGTAGATTTTTAGTGAACATATTCAAAGGGGAATTGCATAGTTTGCAACATGTTTCAAATAGAATGCTATACACTCTGGAGTTGTCTACGGCACCTAAAACAACCACATACGATCTGCATCACTGTAAGGTCATTCTGGAATACGATATCTGACTACACTTTTGAATGTCAAATGCCTTAGTTCGGTTAATATTGGTTATTTGCGTTAAGGTGTTTGGTTAATTCGAATGTCTCATACACGAACCTTTACCATATCTCCTTTTTTAACTGTCTATCTATCTAGTTATCCATCTGTTGGTCGTGGTCCATTATTATGTGGCGGTAAATAGATCCCCCAAAATGAATAGTTCTGTAAGTCTTAGACATTTGCTGCTGGCTGCATTGGTTTTATTGAACTCACCAAGCTGTAGGTCCTCGGTCACGCATCCACAGAATATCACGAGTGGAGACGTTGTGTTTTACATCTTCTACGACCGCTAACCAACTTAGATTGATCACTTCTCAATATATCAATAGCTTATCAGCTATATCTTCAGACCTTTTCGCTTCTGACATCTGATTTGACTGGGTTGCATACTTTGTATACAAAAGATGTTACTGGTCAAGGTGTTGTGAAATTCTGAATACTTGTGGCATCTTTAATTACAATGAACGACTGATGATTGAGACACATTAATGAATTAACATTCTGGGTAGTTTCCATTCGTTTCAACACAATCCAGATTAGACCAGCAATCTAAAGCTGTCACGGATTTGTTCCACACAATACGATTGCTGGATATTACGTTGATAGTATTATTCCCATTCTAATAAAACTGCGTGTGATTTATATACCAGTGTCAAAATAAGTTCAGTGCAGTAGTAAAGAGGTTTAATCCCGATGTTGTTCCGGAGACACAACTAATATTTGATCAAATTGTGTCTACTCAGTCTTATTACACTTTAGTAGTTTGTTACCAATGTAAACACTAGTTGATCCATGTAATTTTACATATGTTCATGAACATTCGTATTGTAGTTCTTACTTGATTCATTTGTTGTCGGTCACCGTGTATAAAAATGACGAATATATTAAACGTCCACTGTTTCCCACCTTACCTCAAAGTATATTTGGATTTTTCGGAAGCATTAAATTTTTATTCTGATTGAAACCTTACCTCAAATGCAATACAACGTCAGCAAATGGTTATATTTTAAAAGGCCCTTCATAAAGAACATCGGTTAACTGTGGTCGAATGGAAACAGCTTCAACTGAACGCATAGCGTTTATAAGCTTGCTGATGTAAGTAGCTTAGATTCATATTCATTGACGAAGATGAGGGATCTACAAATCATTTTGAAAGTTGGGGTGTGGTTCCGTAAACGAGTTGTTCTACAGCGTCAGCTTTCGCTGCATTGTGAATACTAAGTAAAACGAGTGGAAGAGCTTTGGTCCACTTTGAAACGTTCACAGCTGAGAGTGAAGCTTTCGACTGATGATAAAATCATATGTAGTGTCAGTTATTATGGCAAGCCCATCTACCTTATTCTAACTTGTGGACATCCTATTTTATTCATTCCACTTGAGTCATATTTTGACCTTGTTAATTATTCGCTTATTAGCCCTGACTGTTTTCATATGAGCGTATATGTGTGTGCCCTTCTTATCGCATTAATCACATGTCTGTAGCTTTATCCTGTCTGCCTATAAATATGGAGTAACTCTTGACTAAAATGGAGTTGGCTTCTCAGCCATCTTCCCTGTGTGTCATTTTGCTTGGCTCTGTTTCATCCGCTTCATGTACGAAATATATGTATTGTCAAGTCAATTCTCGTTATTCGACTTATTTAATTCCGTTATTGGATAACGCGATCTAAGTCGACGATGATATACGAGAATAGATGATAACAAACATATAATACAATCTGAATGGAGTCAGATCATCGGGCCGTCTCACATATTACCATCCAGTTAGCATGCTGGTGGTAGGCGTCATTCGGAATCGCGGGATCCATAAAGGTGTAGTGAGACAACGGAAAAGTCCAGATTTGATTTGACGTCCGCAATCTGTAATGACGGTCGAAGGGCAACCAAAGTTTGATATCCATCGTCCGACGAAGGTGCGTAACTCTATAATGAATATTCCATTGAATATCCGATTACATTGATGTTCCTAAGCATTACTTGATTCTTCACTTCACATTTCTAAAGCTTAAAAAGGAAATAGTCAGTGAAGAGAAGATGTAGAATTATGGCTTACTCCGATATTAGCACTGATCAAATAAAAGACCTAATCTTAAAATCGTAGATTTGTTATGATGTAAATGCCTAATCTATAAGATCTTACATAGAAGTCACATTATTGTCTACCCTGATTTATCGTATCGTGACAATTATTAATATATAGTGGAAACACGTTTAGATTAGAGATAGAGCAATATATTAAAAAAAAATAATTTTACTCAAGACCACGTTTGAAAGGTCGATCCATACCATCCGAATAATTCGAATTAACTCAATTCATTTTTCTCGCTTTCTCTATCTTTGGGTTTTTCTCCGCTTTAAACGTTGAATATCTATATAAAGACTAGACCGCCAGTATTCCGTTTGAATGCAGAACTGACGAACCAAAACTTATTCGAATAGGCCACACTACATTCTTCTGTATAGCATACCAAGCGTTTTTGAGATACTCGTATTAAATTATCTCAAAACACAAACTCTATGCTCAATCTAAACGTTTCTGATTTAGAGAATAGAACAAATTATATCAAAAATACAAAATACCTCAAAGGGTATAGCCTGTGCTATACAGCCAGAAGTTTCTCTAACGCAAAGTAGTGTGCTAAACAATTAAAGAAACAGTTAATACCAAAGGTATCGATACCTGAGAATCAATAAAAATATTCCCAACCAGATGGGATTCCAGCAATCCTCCTAAGCAGACAGTCAATAAGTAAAGAGCCACACGCTGATTAATGCCGTGAACTTGAGCTTAGTCAAACACGACCTTACTGTCAATAGTCCAGCAACATGCAATAGAAAATTAGGAAAAAAGAGACAAATATTTAATCAAAACCACATAATAACGGCTCAGACGAGGAAGACTAAAGAACAAGAGGTTTGGTTAAACGAGATCTGGACAAAGGTTAAAATACACGACAGGAAGAAGAAACAAATAAATGACGGTAATGTCCTACAAAAAAGCTGTGGAGGGATTTTCATCGTTCTTTTTCCGTTACAATCTATTTTCCAGTTGTCTTGTGTTCAGCTTTGAGGATTGTGTGGTTAGGGTACAATTCCACTAAAGAGAATGTTACCAAGTTTGTTCACTGTATGGAAACTCACATTTGAGTTTTTTCACATTTAATTCGGCTATCTTTTCGTTAACTTACTAACGAACTGAGTCATCCGTGCAACAAAAACTTATCTATATCATTGTATCTTTATTATGGTTGCGAATGTATGAACATGTATGCTTGAGCACTGCTTACTGCCTACGCATTTATTCACGCTGCCAGCCTTACTATTAATCGCTTAATTGATTCAATGATTCATTCATTTCACTATGTATATATGTCTATATTATTCATGTTCATTGCTCTCTCTCTCTCTCGCTTATCTGTACTAGCTTACTCGTGCTAGTTTACTCTGACCCACGCGCTCGCTCGCTCGCTTGCCTGCTTGCTGTTCGTCACAACTCTTTCATGCTTGCTTAACGCACCTGTAATTTGGGATATCTGTGTGTGGCCCCATAATGAACGTAAAAAACACTTTGTGTTTGCCTTCTGAATAATATACCGTTGGGGCGTTATCTAGTGACAGTTATCAAGACAAACTGTATACGAAGTTTAAGGATTATACTGAATACCGACCACCACAACTGTTTTGTATTTGTGATTCATTTTAATACTTGGAATATTTATCATGTTGAAGATGCCACAGGTATTCGGAGTTTGACAACGCTTTAACGAGTAACACCTATTATGAATCGCGCCCATCAAGTGAAGACAGAAGCGAGGAGGTTCGAAGATATATATGATAGGCTATCAATATACCGTGGATCGACTGATCTAACCTGACTAGCGATTGCAGGGGATGTTGAGTACGGCGTTCTCACTCGTGATCTTATGCGAATGCATGACCGAGCGCCTTCAGCCGGGTGAGTCCATTAAAACCAATATAGTCAGCATTCAATGTCGAAAACGTGCAAAGCTCTTTATTTTGGGGATTTGTTTACCGCTACAATGTATAAGAACAGTTTCTGACCTCTTAAAAATTACTTATATAATTTTGGAGATGCTAGATCATCAGAGATCACTTAGTTAACTTCTTATTTTCGTAATTTAACTATAGAAAGTTTGAATTTTCTATTTTCATACCGAAAGTGGTTATGATTACTTCCAATTCGTGTTTCCCATCTGGATGGATCAAAAGCGTCATTGGTTCATTTTCGCTTTTGGTAAGCTATTTTATGACGCTTTTTAATGACATTTTTATATTGTATACATTAAGTATGAATCAAGTGCTTGCTTTTTGTTTTTCTGGGATGCTTGTGGAATTATATGTTTTCCCTGATAACTCTAGTCTTCTTCTTCTAATTAGCTGGACTGGAGTGTAAAGGATCAAGTATTCCTTCATTTCTTCAATTAATTAATACTATAGACAGTTGAAGCCCAGTTAGCAAACTAATCAATTATTTCTTATGAAACTATGTTGATTATACGAAAATTATAGCGTAAATCAGAAATGTGTTCTTTACAGTACGAGAGGCAATTTTGAGAATTATAATTAATCAAGAAGTCAAGTAATTTTAATTAAACTAAGGATATCTTAATAGTTGAGATCATGAGTCAGCTGAAGACAGACCACTATG